CAGCCCCGGGGCCGCAGCGCTGCCAGCACCCACCCGGGGGTGCGCAGGAACCTGGGCGCACGCCGGCAAGAGCACACAGACAACCCGCGGGCGCCCTCACAGACGGGGACACCCCTCCCATCAGCACCCCCCGCACCCCGCGGAGCCCCCGGGGTGCCAGCACCCACCTTGGATGGTGCCGGAGGGCAGATGTCCCCCGCCGTAGCCGTCGGCCAGCTTAGCCCACTGGTAGGAGAGAGGGGAAGCTCCTCCCCGGCTGTAGCACCGCAGCAGGATGCTGCTCCCCACTATCAGCTCCCCCTCGGTCCAGCACTGCGGGACCGCCGGCTTCTCTGCGGGGAGAGGGACGCTGTCACCACCGGAGCCACTGGGGCCACCCTGGAGGGGGGCACGGGAGGGGGGGGGTCTCACCTTGCACGGTGACGATGACCTCGTGCACGGCCACAGTGTTTTTCTTCACCCGGCACTGGTAGGTGCCGGTGTCGGAGACCTGCAGGTCGGCCAGGCGGATGGAGGCGTCGTACTGGCTGGGGTCGTTCTGCACGAAGGCGACCCGGTCCTGCAGCCCCGAGCCGCTGCCGTAGTTGACGTGGTGGTCTTGGTAGGACAGGAACTGGGGGAGACAGTGGAGAGAGTGGGCAGGGCTGGTGCGGGCTGGGGGACCCAGGGCTGCCAGCTGGGGAGGGAAATGCGCTGCCCGGTGCCTGCCTGGCTCTGCCTGGCTCTGCCTGCCTTACCTGCACCTTCCCCTGCCGTGCCAGACCTTGCCCGTCCTGCCTGCTCTGCTGGGCTTTGTCAGGACCTTCCAAGCCCTGCCTGGTCCTTCCCTGCCCTGACAGACCTGGTCTGTCCTGTCTGGCCCTGCCTGCTCGGCTGGGCTCCGTCTGGTCCATCCCAGCCAGCCCTGCCTGCCCTGCCTGCACGGTGGGACAGCGGCTTCTGGGGCGAGTGACACTCACCACGTTCTCCGGGCCGGTCCGCTCGGGCGTGATCTGGATCCACTCGATGCCCACGCCCTGGGGACCGTTGTCTTCAGGCTCGAGAACGTAGGGGCAGCCCAGCTTCACCGAGTCACCCTTGGCCAGGTACAGCACCTCCCGGCCCTTGCCGTTGATCCTGACGGCCAAGAGGAGAGCTGGGGAGAGAACAGCACCAGCCACACCGTCAGGGGAACACCCAGACCTGTGCCCCAGCGTCCCCGCGTCCTGCAGCACCCGACCCACGGGGACCCATCTGTGGGGGTCAGACACCGCAGGGGCAGGGTGCCCTGGCAGGGTTAAGCACCACTCAGGGCTGGCACCCTCTGGGCCCTGTGAAGCTGCCGTTGGGGACAAAGGGACAGGGTGGGCTCAGTGTCACCCGACTCTGGCCAACACAGACGGGTGTCGGGGCAGGAGTGGCCCTGGCTGCAGGTGCTCTGCTGACCATGGGGTGCCCCGCGGCTGGGCTGGGACCCCTCCATCCTCGGTGGCATCGCTGCAGGAGAAGGTCCAAGCACAGGGATCCGTCAGCGCCTACCTGGCATGAGACCCAGGAGCAGGAGCAGGCTGGCGCCGTGCCCTGCCATGACGCTGCAGCCGTGCTGGGTGCTGAGGAGGAGCGGGAGTGGAGGAGGCTCCGAGGCGACAGGGCAGCCGGCCGTGCGGGGCTGCTTTTACATGCTGGGCCGGGGCGCTCCTCCCTGTGGGGCGGATGCCTTTGGGATGACTGAGTGGCTCCAAGCTGTGCGTGAGCGATGCCGCCCTGCTCCACTCCCTACCCGGTAATTAAGCATCGCCATGGCGTGGGCTCCCATCCAGGCGGACCTGGGCAGGGGGGCAGCGCGGGCAGCGCGGGCACAGGCCCAGCCTGGGGCAGCCGGAGCGAAGGAGCAGGGAGCGGGGGGACCGGGGGCCCTGTGGTGGCCAGTGGCTGGGACCCAATGTGGGCACTGGCGGGATGAGTGTGGCTGGTGGGGGGAGGCTGCCTAGGACCCTGCAGGACCCGAGCGTGGCCGAGCACTGTGGCTGCACCGAAGTGCCAGCTTGGCCCCAGGCAGGTCCTGAAAGGATTTTGGTCTTGGGGCAGGACTCAGGACAATTGAAAGAGCTTAAAGGTGTGGTTTGACCATGGGCTTAAGCTCCTGCAGATCCCTCCTCTGGTCCTGCCCCCTCAGCGAGCGGGCACAGGGATGCTGCAGCCGTGCGGGGCCTGTGGCACCCACCAAGCCCATGCTGGTGCTGGCGGCACTGGTGGCTCCAGCACAGAGACCGGGCTGGAGTGCCAGGCCATGGCTCCCTGCACGGGATACTGGGGCAGGGCAGCAGGTGGGACAGACCACGCTCCGCACTGGAGAGGGGACGAGCTGGAGGAGTCTGGGGCAGCTGGAGGGGAGGGAGAGGGGCTGAAACCTGCTGGGATCTGAGGACAGGAGCTGGGGACAGGGATGCTCTGTACTGGAGGAACTGGGAACAGGGATGCTCCACAGTGGATGGAGGAACTGGGGACAGGGATGCTCCACACTGGAGGAGCTGGGACAGGGATGCTCCACACTGGAGGAGCTGGGACAGGGATGCACCACACTGGGGTAACTGGGGACAGGGATGCTCCACACTGGATGGAGGAACTGGAACAGGGATGCTCTGCACTGGGGTAACTGGGGACAGGGATGCTCCACACTGGATGGAGGAACTGGGACAGGGATGCTCTGCACTGGAGGAACTGGGGACAGGGAAGGTCTGCACTGGGGGAACTGGGGACAGGGATGCTCCACACTGGAGGGGCTGGGACAGGGATGCTCTGCAGTGGGTGCAGGGGGCCCAGTGGGGAGCCCCGGATGTGCGCACTGTCACTGTCCCTGTCCCTGGAGGGGCCGAGCCCCCGCGCTGGGCAGTCCTGGTGCTCTGGGCCAGGCTCAGGCCTCGTGCCCGGCTCCCAGTGCCCGCGGCACAGCCCGGCCGTGCTGGTACTTTCCACACCGAGTGCCCCAGCTGGCTCAGCAGCACCGCCCAGCCGGCCCCAAACACTCCCCGGGGCCAAGAGCTGCTCCATTTACTGGCCCCAAGCTGAGCTCACCGCTGCCAGTTAACCCTTCCCAGCGCCGTGCTGGGAATTGGGGCCGAGCCCAGCACGTGCTTCGCCGCGTCTGTGATTTGGGGTCCCTGTGCGCGGCCTGGCCCCGGGGCAGCACCGACGCAGCGAGGGGCGGGTGGCACCTGCCGGGGCCGTTCCCTCGTGGCGGGG